AACCAAACCAACTGATACATGTTTCTGATTTAAATATTTATAAGCAAATATTTAATATCATGTATGCCCTGTTAAGGGCCCCTGACACTTACTAAGGTAATCTTCCAAATGAAATTTCATGCTGACTTACTTTTGATGAACATACAAGAGAGATTGCACCCCTAAAACTGTTCTCCAGCAAGATTGGGAGGAGGGGGGTTATCATGTGCTTATAGGGGATGTTTATTATGTTGGCTAAATAAATAGGGTGATATGTCAGTTATAAAATCTTTTTTAATTGACATAAGAAACAGATTAGGGACCTACCATGCAATATTGGGAGGGGTTATGTTATTTGCATATATAATTACACATAATTCAATTTACTTATTTACACATATTATAAACTCATGAATTTACTTTCTGGGATTCCGATAATTCTAGGGTGGTGCCTTCTGTTTTTAGCCCCTTAATTTGGAAAAAGGCCCACATTTTCAAATGGGTCATGCGGGTGTACCTAGGGAATATATGAAATTGTCACCTAAAGGGCCCATGTCAGAACATTCCTTGAGTGAACCTTGTATTTATTAATAGGTGTCAAGACTTAAAATAATATAAACACACATATGTAAGGTGGTGCATGTGAACAGGGTATTACTTATTCTATAATTCCATTATGTTTTCAATAACTTGTTTTGACACACTTGTGAAGTACATTACTTGTAATTGTCAGGGTGCATGCAATGACTTATAATATGCACACTGACATTTTTTGCTATCATTTGTAAACAGAAGCTGAGGAGGAAGCCTGCAGCTGGGCTCTTACAAGCCACTGACAAGTGCATGGTGACCCGTGTAAAAGAATGGCTTCGAGTTCCAGGAGCAAGGCTTTGAAATGGCACAAGGAAAACGCGTACTGAAAAACAGAGGTGCAGATAGAGAATCTGCAAACAAAAGTTCTGAATTGCAACGGAACAAATAAATCCAAAAAGTTGGTGTTGACATATTTTTCAAAGGGTTATGACCCTTGTTTTTCAACTTGGTACATGTACTGCCAGGTTCTCTTGGACACTACTGAAGTTAATAAATGAAACTTTCCGTGTTTATCTAAGGTACAAACTCCAAAAGATGGTTATAAGAACTTATTTTGTATGGAGTTATGGCCTTTGCTTCATGCTTTTTTAACTTGATGGAATGGGGAAAAAAATTTTGTCTCGCAAACGAATTTGAAGCCACATAAATGAAATGTTGCAGGCCAATATGAGGGGTATATGTTTAGACTGTGTTTTAAAACTGGTTTTGAGAATATATGTTTCACATCCGCCTTGTTGCAGGTAGTAACACTGTTTTCTTGTAAATAATAATAAATTAATAATAAAGTTTATTATTCTATTTTGCTCTTTGTGTTCAATTATAAGTATCAACTACACATGTATTAGGGTACATAAAAAATAATACTGTAACTAGTGTAAGCATTTCGATTGTTTTGTACAGCTAGAAGTATTCATGCATATCACTCACAGTTGGTTTTCAAAGTATTAACTATGATAAAAAATTATTATCTTTTTAAAAATTCAGTATTTTTTAGTTTTACCTTTTATCTTTGTAACTTTAAGATCAGAGCTAATTGCAGCTTTTAGAAATATTTAGTGTTATGTACCCTATTACTACACTTGGAAAAGTTCTATTGTGGTATCATTTACATGAAATATTAAGATCAGATGTTGTCAGTTATGACTTCTGCAGGCAACTACTTTAAATGACATCAGCTTATTTAAGACAATGGCAAATGAAAAACTAACGAAGCGTTAACAATAAAAGTTTGGATGTTTTTGACTATTATTGAAGATATCGATAATTGTAAATGATTATTGCAAATTGTTAGCCATTTGTTTCGTACTTTATGTATTTATTTTGAAGAAATAACTGCCATCAAATATTATGAAGGGTAAAAATACTGAACATCCCAACTGCCATTGTAAATGAGCAAAGAAGAGAAAGGGTGATGAAGTCTGAATGACTAATGCTTGGATGGTGATAGGACTTGAGGTTGGACAAGGCTGATTCTAAACCTAGCTGTAATTAGTGTCAGGCCAATATCAACCCAATGCTGCACTGATAATTATTGTCGACGTTGGGCCGATGTCCATCCGATGCTGATTCCATAACAGTTGCCGATTGCTGCCAGATAACTATTTACGACATTGGGCCGATGTCGTTCCGATGAGCAAAACTTCATCGGCCCGACGATGTTTGCCAGCGCTGGGCCAATACTGGGCCGGTGCATTGCCCATGCAGGGCCGATGACGTTTGCCCACGTTGGACCGATGTCGATCCAATGAGCAAAACTTCATCGGCCCGACGATGTTTGCCGACCCAGGGCCGATGCTGGGCCGGTGCAGTACCGATGCAGGGCCAATGAAGTTTGCCGAAGTCAGATTTGACAAGAGCAAATGCATAACGGGAGAACAGTAATTACATTGCTCACACTATGTTTGCCTGCGGGTTGAGAGGTTGATCGCCTAACGAAACCGGGTGAGAACCCAAACGGATACCATTTTGCACGTGAACATAAGAAGAGTGCACATGCATACCGCTAAAAAGGAGTGAGTGAATAGGACTAAAAATAACTTGTTACGGTGTAACGGAACATGCGTCATTATGAATTTTAACCTTGATAATGCCTTAAAGCATAACACATTTTTAAATTCCCACCGCACAAATTAGTGAGAAAACAGAATATTTGGAACTGATAAATATGTTACACAGAGCAATTTTTCATAATTAATAGTTATGCTATGATAGAGTCTGATTTGATGTCCCTATGAAGAGGCATGATGTTATCTAATATTTCGGGTTGAAATGTTTTGAATAAATTAGATCTATAGTGGAAAACCTGAAGAACGTATGTGTCTTCTAAATTGGGATTGATTCCTAGGTGCCTAAACTGTGTACAAGTTACATCAGCAGAGGAGAAACGAATACACTAAAAGTGTCTTTATAAAGGAGATAATAACAACAAACAAAATCAAACTAATGTTACATAAACCTCGCATATTGTATACTCAACAAGAAAAGTTCCTGTGACACCAATATTTTAGTGTATTTTTCAAACAGGTAAAGTTTGATTTTCAATATTGTAGTACATGTATGGAAACAAGTCACAAAAACGCCACTGCTACAGAAAAGCATGAATTCCATGCAAAAGTTGACTTTTATGCAAGCCCAATGCATTTCACTACCCAAGAATAGGTATAAAAACATGTGCATTAACGGGATTCCATATGCATTGTTTAGCATCGTGCTGACAACCACCACTCAGAAAACAACAAAATTACGCAATTAGTCAACATTACGAAATGCCACGCCTGTCCGAAAATGAGCGTCTGGTATGCTTGAAGCAGGATCGAGTCAATGAGTCAAGACAATTTAACGTCCACAGAAACACCATTTGGTGTTCATGGCAACGTTGGCAACAGACGAATGCAGTCAGAGACCATCCTCGGAGTGACAGGCCACCCATAACCAATAATCGACAAGACAACTGGATTCGAACAACACACCTACGAAATCGATTCCAGCCAACAGTGACTGCAAGAAGCGTCCCTGGCCTTTGATGAATATCTTCACAAACCGTACGTCGTCGCCTCAGATGTGCAGGGATTGTCGCCAGAAGACCCGCCAGACGCCCCATTTTGACAGAAAACCACCGTCAAGCACGTCTACAGTGGTATGGGTGAGATTACAGCAAGACAGAGGACCCGTTTGATAGTGGTAGAGGGAAATCTAAATGGACGGCGCTACCGCGACGAGATCATCGGCCCTGTTGTTCTACCGTTTTTGCGTCATCTTGGCCCAGGCATTACCTTTCAACATGACAACGCCCGGCCTCTTATTGCTTAACTTTTCAGGATTCTCTTCAACAAAACAACGTGAATGTCAACCCCTGGCCGGCTGGCTCCCCTGATCTCTCACCAATCGAGCACATGTGGGATGAGATGGATCAGGGCTTTCGACGTCAACAACGTGTTCCACAGTCACTCCAGGATCTTCGAAACATGCTCCAGCAGATATGGACAGATATCCCTCAGGACTTTGTGCGACGCCTGGTCCATTCCATGAGTCGAAGATGTGTTCCTTGCAGCGCAACAAGAGGTGGACACACACGCTATTTATTTGTAAATTGACATTTTGGCATGTTCATGTTTTTTTTATGAAATCACGCATTTTCTGAAGTCAGTATGGCAAATTAAACGATTTGAACACTTACAGGAGTCTTTTATCTGTTGCAAACCGAATTTTTTTTCAGGTTTGATAAAAAACATAACTTTGCATTAAATCTTATTCAATGTCACAGGAACTTTTGTTGTTCTGTATATTATCAGCCAGTCAGGAAACATTAGTCCGTTATTGGGTGTGGCCTAAAGATTTGTCAGTTTATAAAGACTTAAACGCAACAGATATCGCCTCGTTAGCTAATTAAGTGAATCATTTGCAATTTATTTGTATTGCACGTTTGCTTTCAGAAAATGAAACATTACTTTTCACAATAATGTGTAAATGTAATGACAAAACGCTTGTCATATCAAAAATATGTCAAATAGTACGATTACTATCCTAAGCATGTGTCTTTCAAATAGTGATGACACCAGGAGTTCGCAAAATATACACTATACCCGACACAACAAACATGGAAGGTTAAAACGATTACTATCCTAAGCATAGTAATGACACCAGGAGTTCGCGAAATAGTGACTATACACTTCAAACCTCCACACAACAAACAATGGGAGGTTAATCCATTTCCATGCTCAAAGCTAATTATTGTCTCCTGCTGACACTGCGGATCACTTCTATTGGGGTTAGATGTTTGATTGTGTCCCCAGCCCTGTGCTCACGTGACAACACCATTTAACAGACCTTTGTCTGGAACAACCATGTCATATAAATCAGCATATACCAATGGTATCTTCAAATTACAATGACCAATTTGATAAGTACTTGTGTTATTTTTGTTGTAGATGGCGGAGAAGAAAGAACAGGTAACACAACATTCTATATCCTTAATTCAATTACGGAGTTTGGTGTACAGTCTACATATGATATTCCGACCTTAGAATAATTTCCTAGACCTTAGGCCTATATAGATTACCTGAAGGACGAGGCACAATGAGGGCCAATTTAATAAATTTTAGGAATTCGATTTTCAAATTTGTGATGCAAAAATGTGCCAAAATTTTACGATCTCCTGTCTGTGTGAATACCGTCATGCCACGTGATCTGCAATTTATCATTAATTGGGGGTCTGGGATTCGTATTTTCGAAACACAAAATAAATCTGTAAGAGTTTGATAAAGAGTCAATTCATTATAGTAAAATCTGATGACGAATGCTCTTTGAGCTATTTCAGGAAATGTTTGCTATTGTTTTCAAATTGTCCTCGTTAACTGGTCCGTTAATATGAAATGATTGACAACGAAGAAGAAAATGTTGAAAGCCACTTGAACATTGACAGTAAATAAAACAATCAAATAATTTGTCATCTGCACTAATGGCTGCAGAACATATATCTCGTTTTCTAATAACATTTCATTTTGTAAATGTAGAAAGCTCATTGATATGTTACTTGTTCTTTGTTTCAGTTCCCAAAGTCCGGGTAAGTAACATATTTCCACTCTTATAAAAAAACAAAAAAACAAAACAGGGCCCCTTGTATGATTACGACTACAAAGAAATAACAATGTTAACAACTGAATTATTTGAGATTGCAATGACTGAGGCTGATACTGCAGGCACGACATGTGGTGTATCCCTGAATGATAACAGCTAATAACCACATCACAATAAGCTCCTCCCACCAGGGAAGGCACAATCATCACTCATCCCAAGTTTAACTGGCATGACCATTTAAAAAAACCATGTGATACAAGAACAACAAAAGTATACTTTCATCCATGGAAATATCACGAATGTTTTTATGTTACTGTGTGGGAATTAATGTCATAATAATAACATATCTTTAAGATGTGAAATACTCAAATGTGTGCGATATGGCTTATATTCCCTAAGTCAACTACTTTCTGAATGCAACTATCGACTTCTTAAGAAACGAGATATGCCCTTATGCCCTGAACAGTTTGATCATATAAGAATGCCTGAGTTAAACATAATTCAGCTTTCCCATATAATAATAATTGAGTTTTCACCACGCAAAACACAGCACTGGATGATAGCACATGTAACAGCCCACAGCAGCAAGCAACGTCTAGGCAAATCTTCATGATCCGAGGTGGATACACGTCTGCGTTCAAAGTACCAATGACGTCAGTAAAACCAGATTTCATGTTACCGCATGTTGCTAAATGAATTGTTTGACCCTAAGCGATATGCTACAACTATATGACACAACTGATGGTGACCCTCCTCCCCCTTCAATGCCATCCTTTTTTCTCTCGTTTGCTAATCACTGAATCCCGAATACCAAGTAACACAAATCTACAAGCACATGCCAGAATTCGCCTAGAAGCACAATGTTAATCATAGACGAACACCTATGGAAGACGTTTCTTGGTCATAAAAGGCTGTGATTTGAAGTTACTTTACTAAGAAAATATCACAAAATATAATATATAAAGGAATGTACACCTTTAATATTTTTTTAAATAGTGAATCTGCACACCAAACATATTTGCATCCCGCGTGCCGCACTAGATACCAGAATCGAAAGTACCAATAGTTGAGAGTTGGCAGCAGCATGATTCCGCATGATTTACAACTGATGTGGCTCTTTTCACAAGTTCATTTGATGTGGAAACTATGCTCCGAGGTATATGTGAGCTGTTGAATTGCTGTGAGATTGATTGACGCGTTTGAAGGATATGAGTCATCTTCTTTTGTTTGAAGCTCACATGAACTTTCGATTCATTTGCGCATTCTGACTGAGCATTGTTTGACATCCAACTATCGTAAACGTTTCCTCTGAAACTTCTGTAAAAAAATCACATATACAACGGCGCCTATAATTCTGATACAAATTTCATTCCATTAAGTCTAATGGTTCAATCTCTTTCATGAAACCATTATTACTTAGTTGCAGCAGTTATTAGTTGTTTCACATTCTGTTTCTTCCTACATTAACCCAGAATATATCATGGTTCTAGAGCGAAGTAATTGCTTCATTGGATTTGCAGAAAGTTCTAATCCGCACTTGAAATATTAGTTTTATTTGAGAGTTAGCACATATGATCATTCTGATAATTTTCCATTGAAATCGTTGAGCCAAAGGTCCAAATACTGGAAAAGGAAGAAGAAAGAGTCATCCATATCCCACGTACCTATATATGTAGAACAAAAATAATTTATATGTAATTATCTTATTACAGCAGTTAAAACTATGGTTAGTCCTAAATAAAAGCGACAACATTATTTTCACAATCATAGGAAATCTCTAAACACACAATGATTAGGTGCCTCACTCTGGCACCTTGTGGTCGAATCCAGGATTGGACTCAACCATAAAAAGTACGAGATTCTGTACTTTACAAAGAGAGTGTTATCCCAAATATAACATCTGTTACATAAGAAATATCATCAAGCATTTTTTTTTCTTCAACCAGAGGCTGAATCATTTAAAGTGGAGACCCGTACAATTACAGACGGTTAGTTAAGCATAGCATATAATCATCAAGGTTTTATTGCTGAACCTCAACTGTAAATAAAAAGGGAAACCTGAAGCAAAGCAGAAGAGTTTGGTCGATTTTGCTTTCCTTGTTATGTGGTAACTGTAACTAGTTAATCTAAATATCTATATCTACCAATGATATTGGAATTTGGCCGAAATGGGATGTGGCAATCTGCAACATAACAACTATGTTCTAATGACTCTTTTTTTCTGAAGAAATAATGTGTTTAACCAAAGTCAGAGCTGCTTCAATAAGAGAACATTTAACACATGAAAACATGTCCATAAACCTTATGCAACATCAACAATTTAAATTGATGAACCATTTCTTCCTTCAGGTAGACACAAAACATTATATAGTTTATGCAGCTTCTTTGAAATAGGGGCGGTTGGGTAGCCTAGTGGTTAAAGCTCGTCATACCGAAGACCCGGGTTCGATTCCAGACATGGGTACAATGTGTGAAGCCCATTTCCTGTGTCTCCAACCGTGATATTGGTGGAATATTCCTAAAAGCGGCGTCAAACTAAACCCACTCACTAAATGAAGAAACCATGAAACAATTAAATATATCAGGAATAAATTATTTCGCTGTCATTTATACTTAATTATTAAAAAGGCAGCAAAACAAGTTCCTCATCGAAGAAACCATGAAACAAATAAATATATCAGGAAGAAATTATTTTGCTGACATTTATACATAATTATGAATAAGGCAGCAAAAAACATTTCCTTATTTAATAGCCAAGAGCAGAGTCGATTGTACGATTCCAACTACACATTGAACATGTGTTTTTGAATCGCTATCAAATAATGATACCAGGTGTTCGCGAAAAGGTGAGCGTACCCTGCCCCAATAGTGGCACCCATCATAAACACATGCAAAGGCAAGTCTATTGTGATAATACGGGGACATATGGTACCAGTCAAAATAGGGAATTGCATCGGACAAATATGGTAATGTCCTCCACTTGTCTACCATAAAACGTTCTGAAAGCTTTACTGGGGCCTTGGGTGTTATTACCTTGATCAGACAAGTCGTATCGCGCTCTTTGAAATCTTAGTAGAAAGAGCTAAAGATTGGTGAATTGTAAACACATCAAGGGCAAGAGCTGCTGCTTAAGTAAGACTTATTACTCAACTTGACTTCCAATGGTGTTTTGGTCATATAAGTAGAGTGTGGCTCTACTTTTAACACGTTTAAATGACAGAATTGTCAGATACCAAGAATATTGCCTTCAGAGATATTTCCAAGCCTTTACCTCTTTCAAGCTCGATAAACTACTGAACATAGCTGCAAGTATCCTAATAATACTTCTACTTATTGGATAAGCCAATTTGATATATATGGAGGTCCATTTGGATCGCATATGTCTTATTAAAAAACTTCCGGTCCAGGAAGACCCCTTACTTACTAGATGTTACAAGCAGATATTGAAATGGTTTAACTCATTTAAAAAAAGTTATTACTTTCGTTAGTACTTACAGTTTCGGTAATGTCACTACAGGTTGTTGGAAAACGCATTCTTTGTACATTACTACATCCAAGTTTGGATGACTTTACTTCCGGTCTAAAAGACCCCACATTCTTCCTGCATTAAACCATAGTATCACATGATGCTAGCGAAGTAATGGTACTTGTAGTTTGAAAAAAATATAATTTCCTGCATTAAAACTGAACCAAGTGAAACACAATTCCTCTCACTTTAACGAAATTTACCACAAAGTGTTTGTCTTGGAAAACCAGAAAACAACAACATTTTCCACTGGAAATAATAAGACTTTATTTTAGATTTTCCATTGAACACGTGCTAGCTTCATAGGTACAAATACTAAACGTAAAAGGAAAAGTGATGGGGTAGTATCTCTCATTATGTGGAATATCTTTGCCAAATGTCAGTGTTGTGCATATACTAAAAATATGAAATAAAGACACAATATAACAATCCCTTTATCTTTATAGACAGATGTGGAGGAAGTGTTGAGGAAGATAAGCAACAAAACTAGGGTCGTGTGACGATTATTGTTGCACCAGGAGGAGGAAAGACAACTATTGCCTATAGGAGACTATTTTTTTAGCGGTGCTCTCTTCATCAACTTTAACATGGAGTTTCGTGGATCGACATTTGAAGAAAAGAAGGCTGGTTCTCTACCAATCATCACCGTTACATCCGCCATTGCTCTACAACCAAAGCCCCGCCCACCGTCAACTAGGCCTTCGCTACTGTTATCGTGTACATATTTGTCCCAATTCGTTGAAAGTTCCTTACTTTATTTTAAATACAAATTATCAAAACTACAGCTGAAATTATAGTAAAATATACCCAACTTAATCTTATATCTTGTACGTTTAAAATTAGCTACCTTTATTATTCTACTTCTATTTCATTTTTTATTATTTTACCTTCCATATGTTTTATATAAACTTAATATTACTTGATACATGTTATCCAGGCTTTTTCATTTTACATCCTACTTACATAAACAATAAGCCGTCCAAATTCATACCCATAGGCACAAAATCAACATGCCCATTGTCCAAACGTAATCCCCTGCTATTTTAATTCTATACCCGTCAACATCTGCTGGTGAGCGAAGCTCAATCACTGTCAGTGTCTACCTACCCGTCACCTCTAATTATCCCCCTTAGGCAAAGGATTACCGCAAGGCAAACAGTATACCAAATGCATTGTTTTTAGAAAGTAATCCCCTTATTCTTCCCCGCCCTTAAGGCGGGGAAGTATACGGGAAACGTTAAATGTGTGGCATGTATGTCGACATGTTGGTTTATTTGAAATTTCAAGCCACGCATTTACGGAAACAAAACATACAAATCATGTGCGTCGAATGTTGATGCTATTCTTTTCCAGCAATAAGAGATACTTCAAAATCGTCTTTATGTAGTTAATTGATGCATCTGACCGTTTCTGGTCATTAGCTGACATTATTAAACCATTCATGTGTAATCCGATGTCCTTTTTCCCTCAAGGACTAATTTTCTGATTTTTACGGTGTATACAAAAGAAGAACTGTGCTCCGGAGATCGTAAATAACAGTATAATAAAACATATTTTCTGAATATGCTTATTCATGAACAACGACGACATCTCAATTTCAATGTAATATGGCGGAATTCCACATTCTACATACCACACTTTTGATTGTTTGAATGCTCATGTTCACTGGAAATATTTGGAATAGTTATATTCTGTATTTTGAATTAACCCAGTCCCCCGTGATGTTTTTAATCAGTGCACCGCACATAGACACATGTGAAACGTTGGGTAGCAAAGTCAAAGCAAAATTGGAGTAGTGTGTCGGCGAATTTGCATCAAGGCTGTAGTATTTTTCAACCGTTTAATGGAATTCAATGTACAGCCGTAGCTCTGGTCACTCATATATTTTGTGTCCCATGGCTCAAATCTATTTGCGTCTGTACCGTGTTCCACTGACCTCGATAATCTGTTGGATGAAGGCACAGCTCTCTACAGTCACATAGTTAACACCGAAGGTTATGAGGGGTATTTAGGTCATAATCAGTTCCCAGCAGTCACCACCCCAAACGATATTGTCTACATAACAGATCAGTTTTATGGCTCCGCCACAGGTGCTCCAAATATTGAAGCAGGGAAAACAAATTTCATAGAATCATTTCAAAAAGCAATATTGATATCCCCGTCACTTTTGGTAACTTTTAATGATGTCTCCATTGCAATTTTTACGGATTTTGATTCGTATGCATTATTTGACTCTCATCAACGGAATGGTTTGGGTCAGATTGATCCGAATGGACAAGCGGTTTTACTTCTGTTTAGTAGTATTGATGAATTGATATGTTACATCTTAACAGTATATCAGGCGACTATGCTTGTCGTAAGAGGCGACAAACGGGATCGGATGGCCAGGCTTTGGTTGATGCATGGCATCGATCCCAATTGCGTGGATCGATGCTCATGATATAATGCACTGGATTGTCTGGTCCAGACTCGATTATTTACAGAACGCCGTCATATAGCTGGGATATTGCTGTGTGCGGCGTTAAACGACAAACCAATCAATCATCATCATATGAACTCAAACCAGTCATTGTTACAAGTAAACCACATTCCACAACAGTTACTGACACTGGATAAAAAAACAGTACATAGAAAAAATACCAAGTAACTCAACTCATCATGATCACAATTACTATTCTTTGAAAGAAAGAAATACGAAATAGAAACTGACCAAAAAACGTAAAACAAGAGACGAGGAATCTCCGTTATTGATTAGTCCCGGTATTGAAATGTTCTCCAACTACGCGATAATATTTGAGTTGTGACCAATAGACCTTATCTAGTATGACTTTTTTGCCATATGGAGCCCTTAGTATTTTCATGACTTTTTTGCCATATGGAGCCCTTAGTATTTTCATTTACATTACTTTTGATACTATTTTGATACTATTTCCACATGTTTACATTTGTGCCAGACATTGCTTCCATTTCCTTCGATCTACTTTTTAAATAAAGACCCAGGTTAGAATAGGTCTTCAGCAACCTATGCTTGCCGTAAGAGGCGACGAAGAGGATTGGTTAGTCAGGCTCGACGATTTGGTCGATGCAAAAAATCGTATTCCAATTGCGTAGTTCGATGCTCTTGGTGTCAATCACTGGATGATCTGGTCCAGACTGGATTATTTACAGACCGCCGTCATATGGCTGAAATACTGCTGAGTGCGGCTTTAAACAAGAAACTATTTTTAAATAGACCTTCCCTATGCAAATGTATCAACTGTATTGCCCCATACTCAAAATAAATAATATTTCTTCCACAACAGCGTTGTGTTATTTGTGGTTAATATAATTATGCTTCTTAATGCCTTTCAGTAACATCATAATTATGCGTTTGTGAGGCATCACATATGGCGGGGAACTTTGATGCTTTGCATCAATGTTTTCTTGTTGTTAATGTCAAACAGTAGATTAGTAAACTTGGGAAATCAGTCAGTCATTACAAGCCTTAGGTCAGAAATTCTTATCCAATCAAAATTGGCGTTACATACTTTGGACCAATAACAGTAAAGGCGCAGTTCCAGCTCCTCGGCCTCTCAACTATATAAAACCATGCAGATGCCCCTTTGGTAACATCCAAAAATGTAAGTCCCAATGGATCAAAACACTATTCATCAAACCAACAACAAAATGCAAAAACTACACAAACTCCATCCTAGCAGATAAAGTCATAAACAGAATACAAAGCAACCAAACCAACTTAAACGCAACACTATACAAGCAAAACGGACATACAAGCCCAAACTGCATCCACTGCAATACAATAGAAGACATAAAACACATATTCACCACCTGCAGCAAATATAAACAACAACAGTTAACACTATACAACTCTCTCCCGCCCAAATACAATAACAATATTACAATGCTATTCAAACCCGACAATCCACCAGCCACTTACCTACAAATAGCCACCTTTCGTGAGTGAGTGAGTGAGTGACACTAGGAGATTTTACGTGCGCTTTCCGACTAAAAGCGTATTTCGCACACGGGGAAGCACTTTATACTATTGGGAGAAAAAAATCGTAATGAATAAATAAAGAAGTGCGACCCAAAAAAATGTAACATTTACAGGACTAATCTAATAAAGCTGCGGGGGGTGGGGGGTTTGGCTGGGTGGGCGTGGGTGGTAATAAAATACTCAATGATATGGAAAAGTTTGGGCGTGGGTTGGAGGGGGTCAAGCGTGGGAAGGCACGGCGTCGGCGGGCGAGCTTGTGTGGCGACCGGAGACTGGCGAGGGTGGCTGGAGGATTTACTTGCGGTTGCCCGAAAGGAGTCTCGAAGTGAGTCTCATCTCCCTGGCCGTGGGTGGCTCTGGCTTGTAGAGGCCGTGGACGAGCCGGGCTGCTGTGTGGGACACGAAGTGTTTGGTGACGGTGAAGTCCGCATCCATGAGAAACTCCGAGAGATCTGACATGGAGTGGAGGTCGTGCTCGAACTCTTCATCGTCACTGTCCTGGCGCATGACGAGAGGGGGTCTACTCTGTGGGTAGACCTTCTCCGTTGGATTGTTGACGAAGGTTAGGATGCGGGAAGGGAAGTCTCGATCTCCATGTCTAGGACTGGAGGAGGGATCTTCTGCGCCTGAGGGGGCCCCTTCTTCTGCGCCGGGCGGGGAGCAGGAGGTTTAGGGGCTCGGGCCATCTGAGGCTTGGTCTTAGCCGGGGCTTTGACCAGAGGTCTCTTCCTTTGACCGAGGTCGAAGGAGATGGAGAGCGTGGATGAGTTGGATTTGTAGGAAGTCCTGAGGGAGTAATCCCCAACCCGGTAGGCCAGCAAGGGCTCCAGGATGGAGACAAGCTCCCTCGGTAACGACATTGAGAGGTCTCTCATTGTCAGCTTGGTAGTTTGGAGAGCTTGGGAGGACACCAACTTAATAGAAAAAAATTAGACACTCCCAAACAAACTCAGCAAGTAACTCTAACATTAACAGCAAAACTCTAGATTCGGATCGGGATCGAACTTCTCAGCGCGGACTGTCTTCTACGACGTCCGGGCCTCAAAATTCTATAGCGGATTGTCTACAATGACGTCCGCGCACTCAACCCATAGCGCGGATTGTCTACTCCGACGTCCGCGCCACAAACCCACATATCCATTCATAGTATCTTTATAGCCGTTTAACCAGCCATCCACCCATAGCCAACAACAACAAGCCCACTACCAATCACGCTGCCACACAGCCTTGCCCCCACCACCCACCCCCCGCGCTAGGCCCCTGTTTTTAACTTAGGTTACTTACACATATCCATTACCTTTTCCCCCTTATAAATTATTTATTCTTATTATTAGTAGCTATACATCAGCTCAACTGACTACTTCTGTCACTCTACCTATCCTAGTTATTACACCCCAAATAAACCTGGTTAATGTAGAACTTTTTATCCCTCCTCGGCTCTCTATGGCCACTAAAACCTCAACCTCTCTTCTCATTACTTTATCCCCCTACACTTACAGTTTTTTGGGCTAGGCGTTTATACTTATTCCCACTATTTTATATTTTATAAAAACCGTCTGCCCCG